GATGATTTTCCCATCACCATGGGAGGATTTTAAACTTGGGAGTGACAAATCAGAGCTGCATGTTACAAGACTATCTCTAAGTGATGAATTGGGTGGATGACTAGATGGGATTCTATGAGTTAGTGCTATAAACTAAGAGATACAGTGAATGGAGACCTGGTCCTGGAGTTAGGATGACCTAATTTCAAATGGAGCCTCATTCACTTAGTAGCTGTGTGACCTTGGCCAAGTCACTTAATCTTTGCCTGCCTCAGTTTCTTCATCTGTAAGATAAGGATAATAAAAGCACCTCCCTTACAGGGTTGTTGTAAGAACAAAATGACATAATATTTGTAAAGTTCTTAGCATGATGCTTGGCACATAGTAGGTGCTTAATAAATACTTATTGACCCTTTCTTCCTCCTTGCCCCCCTTTCCTTATATGTGCTATAGTCCAATCACTTTCCTTTTCCAGGCCTCAGTTTCTCCATCTGTGCAAGAAGAATGATAATAGCATATTTGGACTAATGTTGACAAAGTCTCACCGAAGATTATGCAGGGGAAAGCTCTTTAATTGGTTGCTGTTAAAATCCCTTTTGCTCTGTGAGTTACAGTGGTGGATTCTCATCAAAGTCAAACTATTCTGTAGTCAAATTTATTCTCTATCTAGCTGAATCTACCTCCTAGGTGACAAGTAGTCCAGAAGGGGAGGAAAGAAATCAGTAGCAATTTAGAGAGAGTGAGGGATGAGTCACAGCCACATAAAGACAAAGAGAAATGGGATGAAGAGAAGAGAGCGAAAGACAGAGAACCCAAAGGAAAAGAGAAAAGTTGGTACTGGATCCTATGAAAACAAACAGGTGCATATGACTCCATGTTGTGTAGGGTGTGGGGCAATACTCACGAATATTAATTTTGTGAACTGGTAATATATAGCCTGTGAACCCCGGATAATGGGCTGGAAAGAAATGAGGTTCTTAAAATCCACTTTTCTGTCCAGAACTACTTGCATAAAACTTGTGTGTGTGTGTCTGTCTGTGTGTGTGTGTGTGTGTGTTGGGGGGAAAGGGAGGTGGTGTCTGCTCTTCGGTATAAGCTCAAGACCTGGTATGCCGTCACCAAGGCTGGAATTTTCCATTATCACAGCATTTCTGGGAGTGGGGTTGGGGTGAGGAGAGAGCAGGTAGCATAGGGAGAACAATATAGGCTGCTCCCTCTCATATCTCCCTGTTCAGTTCCATTAAATAAACTGTCTGCTTCTATGGGGTCCTTTAGCCCATCACCCAGTGGAGATCCCTGACTGCCTGAGGGCAAAACTGTGCACATAGATAGAGGGAAAGCCCTGTGAAGAGGAGAGAATGGGAGAGTGGGGCAATGGAGGAATCTATGAAATTAAGAACTGTTCATTATGTCTCTCACACCCTACGATTTATGCAATACAACCTTGGGTTTTTTAGGTTTTGCATATTTTAGCTTGCATTTATGTAGCACTTTACATGGGTCCTCTGGCTTGATTCAACAACTTTATGATGTGACTTACATCCCCATTTAGGAACAAAAGTTGACGAGTACTCAAGGACCCACAGTTGTTAAGCAGTAGAATTACAAATTGAACACCCAGGGAGCTAGGTGGCAGAATTTATAGAGGTCTGGTCCTGGAGTCAGGATGAGCTGAGTTCAAATCCTGCCTCAGACACTTAGTAGCTGTGTGACCCTGGACAAGTTGCTTAATTAGCTTAGCTTCTATTTCCTTCTCTGTAAAATGGGGATAATAATAGCAACTGCCTCACAGGGTTGTTGAAGGACCAAATGAGATAAAATATTAAATGTTCTGCAAACTTTAAAGCATTGTATAAATGCCAGCTATTATTATTACTCTTATTTGATTATAGGGTAGACTTACTTTAGAAAAACCTGATAGATAGGTAAGATTTGCTTTAAGAAAAACCTATAGAGGCATACTAATACCTAATGGTGTGGAATTACAAATTCATCCAATTATTCTGGAAAGCACTTTGGAATTGTGCAAAAAATGTGGCTAAAATATCCATTCCTTTTGACACAGAACTTGCTACTAGGAATATATACCAAGGAGATCACCAAGAAAAAGAAAGGTCCCTTGTCCACCAAAATATTCATAGCAGTACCTTTGGTAGTAGCAAAAACCAACCAACCAAAAAACTTCTGGATACAAAGTAGATCTCCCTCAACTGAGACATGATTAAACAGGTTGTAGTACACGAATATAATGAAATATTACTGCATAGTAAGAAATGATAAATGTGGAAAAGTACTGAAGACTCATCTGAACTGATGCAAAATGAAGTAAGCAGAACCAGGAAAACAGCATGTACAATAACTGTAAGAACACAAGTTCTTTTCAGAACAAAGTGATTGAAACTGAATGCTGTGAAATTATCATGCTCAAACTTGGCCCCAAAGAAGATATATGAGGAATATTTTCTTTGCAAAGGTCAGGAACTGTGGGTATAGAATACTTCATTTAGTGTCAGCCTTTTTTATGTGTTGGCTAGTTTTGCTGAATTTTCCTCCTTTTTTTCCTTCTTTTTTAGAAAGGATGGTTCTGGAAAATGGAGAGGAGGCTTTGTTATATGGCTCTCTGGAAGGAGGGAGGGCTATAGTGGGAAATACAGGTGATGAAATACAAAAAAAAATAAAATTTCTATTAAAATAGGAAGAAATCCAAATATAGAAGACTCTTAATTGACCAAACAAAAAAAAATTAGTGGGAAGGGAAGGAGAATTAAGTACTTTACAAAAGTAATTCTTCACTTTATCAAAGGAGTCACCACATGGTTCCTCTGTTAAGTTTCTTCCGTGCATTTGAAAAGGTATACAATCTATGATTCACAGCCAACTTTCAAGATGCAGGATGCTTTGTGCTGGCAGCAGAGAGTTGGTGACCAATGATGATGACAGCGCCTCTAACCTACACAGTGAGCCATGAGGTGACTTCAGTTCCATGGAAGGGGGAACATGGGAGAAAGCTCTATTAGAATACAGCAAGAATTAGGGTGAATAGTTTGGTTAGTTAAAATTACATAGAAGCAGGGATTCATGGGATAAATCCCTCAGGGATCTGCCTACCAAAGGAGACCTTGAGGCTTATCAAGGTCTATTGTTACCTAGGAGACCTATCATCCTAGCTGTTTCCATGGCAACCATATTCAATTGGATTGGATAAGTGGGTAGAGAAGAGGTTTGTGCACATTGGTTAAAGGCACTGACCAATTACCTTAAAAGACGTGGGGCTGTCAGAGGGTTCTGGCTGAATAGAGATGGGCAGCTCCCACATTCCTAGGAGCAATGGCCACAGGTGCAATTGTCAAAGGATTGAAGGGAGAGATTGGAGCTGGAAAGTAGACTGATGAACATTAAGCCCTCAGGGACTTCTGTAACTGACAGGCTGCTCATCTTGTCCCCAGTCTTCCTAGGGTGCAAACAGAACTTTCATCTCCTCTTGGAATCTCCAGATCTCTTCAAGGCTCTACTTGGAAATCACTTCCTACATGAGTCCCCTTCTGACCTTACTTTTGTTAGTGCTTGCCAGTTCCAAAATCATTTTGTCTAGATTTTGTATTTTCTTATCTGTGTATGTGTTAAACACACCCAGCCCCCAATATATAATGTCAGCTCCTTGAGAGCAAGCGATATTTTGTTTTGTATTTGTACTCCCAGTGTCTAGCATAGCGCCTGGTACAAAGAGTCATCAGCACTAGAGGGGATTGTATCACTCCTTTTTTAAAATTTTTTATGTTTTTAGGCAACTGGGGTTAAGTGACTTGCCCAGGGTCACACAGTTAGTATGTGTCAAGTGTTTGGTCTGAGGCCAGATTTGAACTCAGGTCCTTCTGACTCCAGGGCCAGCACTATATCCACTGTACCACCTAGCTGCCCCTCTCACTCCTTCTTCTTACAGATGAGGAAACTGAGGTTCAGGGAAATATGATAGGAGCCTAATAAGTGCTTGCTGAATTAATGCAATAGTCCTGAAAGGCAAGGTCACATTTTTTGAAAAGCTTCCCCCATCTCTGTGTGTGTGTGTGTGGGGGGTTGTCAAGATGACCTTGCATCTTTCCTTGCCTTTACTACCAAGCTTGATTCTGGGGGGGGCAGGGTGAACCCTTATAATAGTTTCATAGCTTTAGAGGTAGAAGGGACCTCAGAGACCATCTGGTCCAACACCCTCATTTTGTAGATAAAGGACAATGATAAGTCCCAGGTCACACAAGCAGTAAGTGTCAGAGACAGAATTAGAAGCCAGGTCCTCTGATTCCAGAAGCAAAGCTCTTTCCATTTCCTTTCCCTCTCCCTTCCATGGGCTTGGATTTGAGTACAGAAGAGGTCAGGTAGAGGAGTAGGGACATGAGGACACCATGGATTAAAAATGACCAGGAGAGAGGGATTTTTTTGGGGGGGAGGGGAGTCCAAGGAGAATCAAGTAGAATAGAATGAGAACTAGTGATTAGTGATTGTTTGAGACTTTTCCTGATCCCCCCAGTATTCTTTCTATTTATATATATATATATATGTATATATATATATTTAAAGAATACTTGCATATCTATGCTTGTGTGTGTGTGTATTGCATATCTACCTATTGTTTCCCTGGGTGGAATGTAAGGTTCTTGGGGGCAGGAACTGTTTCAGGTTTGTCTATCTCCCCAGCTCCTAACAATGTCTGGCACACAGTAAGTGCTTAATAAATGCTTGTCGATTGGTTAGGGTTGGTAGATAATAACTTACATTTAGATAGCACTTTATATGGGCTATCCTAGTTTGATACTTATGAAGCAGGTAAGGCAAGTGATATCCCTGTTTTACAGATGAGGAAACTAAGGTATATTGACCTGCCCAAGTATCTCTGTCTACTAAATGGTAACAATCACGATTTGGACCCAGCTTTCCTGCCTTGGCAATGTCATACACAACACCATTAAACAGAACTCCCAGTCCATTCCTTTAAACCATGGTCCCTTCAGGAGGTGCTCAGTACTCACCTCGTCCATTCTGGTTGGGCCTATACACACTGCCCACGCTGACCCGGCCTTGCTGAGTGCCCTGTCTGTCCCCACCTAATGGGGGAGCTTCAGAGCTCCTGATGGGCACATAGGATTCTGGCCTAGGGGCACTCCCATAGGGTTCCAGGACCCGGAATGGAGGCTGAGGTTCCACCACTCTCGGTGGGTTGTAAGTTTCTGGGGGCACATTGGCATAAGGTGATTGCCAACCCAGACGGGGATCAGTCACATAGCCTGGTCCCAAGCCTGGGGAGGAGCCCCCGTTCACCTGCGAGGTGTCAGGAGCAGCTGCTACTTGTCCTGGCACCACTTGGCCTGGGACCGAGTTGTAAGTGTCCTGGTAAGTTTGATCAAAGTTCGTGGTCCCCTCATGATACAGACTGTGGGAATACCTCCTGTCCAGCCCGTCGGAAGGCTGGGGCTGGGGCTGGGGCTGAGGCTGGGGCTGGGGCTGGGGCATTGGCATGAAGGGCATCTCCTGGGCTGGATAGAAGCCCTGAGGCTGATACGGCGTCTGCTCCTCCCCGTACTCCTCATACCTCAGCCGGGGCTGGAAGGGGTAGATGACTCCAGCCGAGGCCACTGCAGCTGCCCCGGCTCCAGGCCCGCCTCCGGCGCTCCGGTAATATACGTAGCTCTCATCATAGGCCCTGGGTGCCTGGTCGTACGCCTCGTACTGACTGACAAAAGGGGGCTGGGGGTAGGGGAACTGCGCCGGGTAAGATGGCTGCCGGTAGGTGGTCTGGGCGAAGGCAGAGGCAGAGGCTGAGGCTGAGGCTGAGCCAGAAAAGACGGAGGAGGAGGCGGAGCTCGTATGTCGTTGCCGGGAGACGGAGGTGCGGGCTCTGGCCATCCCCGTGCTGTCCCCGACGGCCACTTCCCTCCAGTTTTCTGGCACCTGGCCGAAGCCGAAAGGGTGCCGGGCCTGCCCTCGGATGGTGTCCGAGCCAACCCTCACGGGCAGTGAGGGGGCCTGCCTGCGGATGGGGCGTCCGGGGCTCCTGCGGCTGTTCGTCTGCTGGACCCCGGCCAGAAGCACCTGGGAGCTGCCGTCGTGATCCACGGAGCCCGCGGGCAGGTACTCGGAGCCCGAGTTCAGGAGGCTGTACACCCGTCCGTTGTTCTCCCACCGGATCATCTGCCTCCAGGGGACGGCGTCGGAGCTCTGCTGGTGAGGCTGCTGCTGTCCGAGGGTCAGGAGAAAGACCCCGCAGCCCAGGAGCGCCCAGAGCTCCCAGGAGACGCGGGCCATGGTCTCTGCGCCGCCTCGTCTTCTGCCTCCCCGGGGACTGGACCAGCAGCGCGGGTCACAAACAGCAGAGACGCCCCTTCTCCCAAGGCCCCTTCCTCCCGACGTGTCTATCCCTCCCTTCCCTGAGACGTTGTGGGTAGCTCCTTTCCTCCTCGAGGTTCTAGCGCTGTCTATCCCAGGCCAGGCCCGAGCGGGAGGGTTCCCCGGACAGCAGCATGGTGAGGCCAGGCGAGGAGAGACGGGGAGCGGAGAGGCAGCGGTGCGCGGTTGGAGGCGAGGCTGGCCGAGCCCGGGGGCTCCGTCTGGGGCAAGGCAGGGCAGGGCACCGTGCGGAGCTGGGCTGGAGTTGGAGTCACTCCCTGCAGGTCTGGCCCCAAGGACAGGACCACCACCGGGAGGGGCTTTACATGGCTCCCGTGCGGGATGGGGTGGGGGGGGGGGAACTGGCCGGCTCCCTCCTCCCTCCTTCCCTCTCTCCCGCCCTCCCTCCCTCTCTCCTTGGGTCTGGGGCCAGCCGGGCTGGCTCTTTCCCACTCTGAATGAATAAGCAACAAGCTGTGAAAAGTTTGGAAGTTTCAGAGCAGCTTGCTCCTTTTCGAGGCTCCACCGCTGGGCCCTATTGCCCGTCGGGTTTCAGCTATGCGGCCAGCCCCCGAGGCGCCTGGCCCTTGCTCTCAGCTCTGCAAGCCAAGCTGGGGGGCCGCCTTCCTCTTTGATGAAGAAAGAAGGAAGCAGTCCCAGTGAAAACCGAGGACAAGGGAGGAAACCTGGAAATGAGAGGAAAGGAGCGAATCTCTTGTTCAGCTCGGTCCCAGCCAAGAGGATTCTCTAGGGCAACTGCCCCCCAAAGGCAGATGGGCTGCTTGGCCCCTTTGCTTGTTTTCCAGTCTGAGGGGCATCATTTTCACCCACTCCTCTCTCTTCAGAAGGGACCTTACCCTGTACCCTGTAGTTAAAAGAACCTTGCCTTTAAAAGGCAGAAGGCTAGGATCATTGACTGAGGCTTGGAAAGGACCTTCGGGGCGATGTAGTCCAAATTCTTCTTTGCACGCAGGAAGAAACTGAGCCCTAGAGAGGGGGGGTTACATGTTGAAGGTTGCACACAAGTAGCTAGTGACAGGGCTGAATGACTAAATGAATGAAAACACATTTAGTAAGCACTCACTATGTCCCAAGCACTGTGCTTAGTTAAGATTTGAACTCAGGTCTCCGGACTCCAATTCCAGGACAGTGTTTTTCAGTCCTTACTTGCACTTAAGAGCTGTGGGATCTTGAGTAATGTGGTTTGTTGGAAAGGTCACCAGATTTCAAGTAAGAGGACCTGGATTGGAAGTCCTGTCTTGCATCTTACTAGCTGTGTGGCCTTGGGAAAGTCATCTCCCTTTCTGCATTTCAGTTTCCTTCTTTGAAAATGAAGGGATTGGTCTGGATGAATGATCTCAGACTTTCTTACAATTCTGCATTCTACAATCCCCTGCTACCAGATGCTGAGGTGCTCTACACAATTTAAGCTAGGTCCTAGAATCCCTGACTCCAGACTCTGGTTTCCCACTCTTTCTGGCCCCACCCGATGATTTCAGCAGCAAACAAGCAATCGTCTATTCCAAGCTGGAGGGGACCTCAGAGGTCACCTAGCCCAGCCCCCTCATTTTGCAAAAAGAAAATCTAGGCTTAGAAAAGTTAAGTGCTTGAACAGCTGGAAAGTGTCAGAGGTGGAATATGAACCCACCTTTTCTGGACTTTAAGCCAAATGTTCTATTCCTTGATGCTCCAGGCAGCACCCCCAGCATCTTTGCTTTTTTCTTCCTTTCACTTCCTTTTTGCCCCTTCCATTTCCTTCCCTTTCCCTAGGCTTCCCTTCTCTTCCTTTTTCTCTTCCCTTCTCTTCTCTTCTCTTTCTTCTCTTCTCTTCTCTTCTCTTCTCTTCTCTTCTCTTCTCTTCTCTCCTCCCTCCCTCCCTCTTTCCTTTTCCCCTTCCCTTCTTCTTTCTTTCAAAGAGCCAAGATTTTCCTTTTATAGAGAAGGAAACTGAGGCTCAGGCAATTTTCAAGGCCCAAGCTCACTCATCAAATGCATAGCAGAGCTGGGAGTCCATATCTGCTGATCCCTAATCCAGCATTCTTTATCACCTCCTCCTCTTTACTGTGATAACCTTTGCCCTGAATACTCAGACATCTGGCCTATAGAAGCACATCAGCCACGCAGCGGCCTGGTACCTTTCCTAGAGAAGAGCACTGGGCAGATCTCTCTTTAATGTCTGCCCCAAGGGGCTCCGAGGGAGATCTGTGCCTTGCCCAGAATAGATTCCATTCCCTTTGAGATGTAAAAATCATCTCCAAACCTCTTCTTGGTCATTTCACCTCCAGTCTTTTTACTCTGGACAGTGGGAGGGTAGAAGGAGAGGTGTGGTATTCTAGGTGGTGGGAAAGGGGCAGGGTTAGACCTAGGAACATGTTCATCATCCGGAGGTTGCAGCACTAGACAAAATTCTGACTCTAATTTGTTATGTGGTTATGAACAGGTCATTCTCTCTCTCTAGGTTTCATTTTCCTCTTCTGTAAAGTTAGAATGTTGGGTTAGGATCCCTTCCAGCCCAGATGATCTGGGATTCTGAGAATTATCTCTCCACTCTATCCTCTAGATAAGAAATTAGTGGAAAGCATAGGAAACTGGGGTGGGGGGAGGACAGCTAGGTGGCATAGTGAATGGAGCACTGACCTGGATTCAGAAGACCTGAGTTCAAATCCAGTCTTAGACACTAACTAGCTGTGAGACCTTGGGCAAGTCACTTAACACTGTTTGCTTCAGTTTCTTAAACTATAAAATGAGCTGGAGAAGGAAATGGCAAATCCAGTATCTTTGTCAAGAAAACCATAAAGTGAGGTCACAAAGGATTGGCCAGGAGTGAACAACAATAGGGAAACGGAAGGAGAAGGAAGGGAAACTAAAAGCTTGGATTTTTAATTATCCCTTTAAGAATCAAGAATTTAGGCTCTGAAAGGGAGGCAGAATGGCTTACTAGATAGAATGACCTGGCAAGGGCCAGGTCAGGAAAACCTGTGTTCAGAGCCCACCTTTGATACTTATTAGCTGACTAACCGTGGGTCAACCAATCTCTCTGAGCCTCAGGCAACTCTCTAAGACTAAATATTGGAAAGAAAAGGTGGTAAAGAACCCTGCTCAGTAGTCAGAGGTCCTAGATTCAGATCCTGACTCTGCTACTTGTTATTCCCTATGTGATTTTAGACAGGTTACTCTCTGAGCCTCAGATCTTCATCTGTAAAACGAAGGGGGCGGACTTAGAGACCTTTGAAGTCCCTTCCAGTTCTAATTCTACGATCCTGTGAAATTATAGAGAGGTTGCAACCTGCTTTGTCAGAGGGACAAAACCCTTCTGTCATGACTCAGGAGGACCCTTGATATGACCTAGGTGACTTCTGAATGGCCTCTACCATGTTGTTGTGGTTGTGGTGGCTGCTGCAGCTACTGTTGTTCCTGAATTCTGCCACATATGGGATGACCTTCAGACAAAAACTTCGAGGTACAAAAGTACATTATGGATCTGAAATGTCTTTTGGAAACCTTGAAGGCTTCCTGAAAACTGGAGGAAGGAGGCCCCAAGAGCCTTGGGGCTCTTGGCCAGTTGACTGTACTCCTAAACTACATTGCTTTGCCACCAGGGACGAATTTGATCTCCTGTTCAGTCAAGGGAACCAGACATGCCAGCCCACTAAGCCAAGTTTCCAGGGGGTGGTAGGCCCCTGGGACTCCTCCCTCTGCCTCTCAGATGAGTCCAAAGTTTGGGCTGTCCCTGGGATGCCCAGAACCATACCTGATTCTCCCCGAGGGAGACAGATGAGGTCAGTTCTGTATGCCAGCCCTGGAGCTCAAGCTCTCTCCAGGGGAGTGCTTGGTTTTCCTGCCCAGAGCTTCCAGGAGGGACACTGCTGGAGATCCTCAGCCCCCTTCTCACCTTCCATCCTCCCCTCACCTGGGGCTAAGGCAGCAGGAGCACAGTCAACATTTAGGAAGATTCTTTCAGTGCTGGCTCCTTGGCTTCATGTCCAGTACCTAGACCTCTCTGAGTGCTTGCCAGTTGCTGCCATAGCATTGAGATGTTTCCCTAAGGCAGTCAGTCAGAGTGGGCAGGCCTTGGGAGAATCCAAGGTCCAAGAGTTATTTTTATAATCCCATGCTTTCAGCCCACTGTTCTCATTGGGTTTCATTCTCACTTCGGACATAGCATGAAATGTCTGCATGGATGTTTTATTTGTTCTTTCTTGAGTTTTTAATTGGAAGGGGGGAGATGGAAAGAGAAGACAAAGTATTCTCATTCCATTGGCCATTAGTGAAATTCTTTTGGTGCCAAAGAACATGGCCACATCCTTTCTCTCTCTCTCTCTCTCTCTCCCTCCCTCCCTTCACCACACCATCCCTCCTCACAGCAGAACTCTGAGGAAGTGGGGAGAAGATTGGTATAGCCTAGGGCACAGAGGAGTTGAGGATTGACTGTCTGAAGATTACTCAGGTTTATTTGGAGTTGGGATTGTGAGAGTTAAGCTTTTATTTTCTCCTCTGAGTATCTGGCATTGCTGAATACAATACCCTCAAGGCATGACCTTGAACCCCCCAAGAAGGGGGAGTCTCTTTTTGGTTCTTTAAAGCCAGATAGGTTATATGAAAGAGGAGGAAAAGAGGAGAAGGAGGAAGAGGAGGGCCTGAGAGGAAGGACTAGAGAGGGAAGAGAAGAGAACAAAAGAGGTCCACAGCTGTTTTTCCTGTGAAGAAGAGGAGGGTGGATGTTTGTGGTGGCTGAAAGATGTGGGGATCAGGGGCCAGAGAGCAGGGGAAGACACGAGTCCCACTTTGGGCACTAAGGCAAATGGAAACCCAGGACGTGGGGATCTGTGATGGGAAATGTCTGCCCAGAGAGGGGTACTGGCCAGCTCCCTACATTTGGCTTAAGAGTCAGCATAGTATTTAATATGAAATAACCCAACAGTGCTGTTGGCCTTTTCTCCTGAGGGGTTTAAAAAGCAGTCTAAATGAAAGTGAGTCTTAAAGCTGAGTTTTCTGCATTCCACACCTAGGGGCAATTAGGTTGTGAGGTGGATAGAGTGCTGGACCTGGAGTCAGAAAGACTGGAATTCAGATCCAGCCTCAGACTGTTTTCCTGATCCTGGGCAAGTCACTTAACCTTTGTCTGCCCCAGTTTCCTCATCTTTAAAATGAGGATAATCATGGTACCTAGCCCCCAGGGTTGTTTTGAGGATCAAATGTGATAATATATGTAAAGCACTTTGAAAACCTTAAAGCCTCACATAAATGTTAGCTATTATCCTGATTATATAAACTCTGCTCTGGATTTCATTAGGAAGCTGGTATGCTGGCCTGG